TTTATACTAAACCAATCAAATTGTTCAGTGATGTTGTACTTTTAAATGACATATTCATAAATGTGGTGTGCACTTTAATTAGAAAACAGTGAGGTAGATCGTAGTAGCGAGGTTATTAAGTTCCTTTCGGGATAGATTTAAAACCGCTAAATATGATAAATGTTGCACGTGCTCTTCGTTTAAGAGAACAATTTACGATTTTATTGAGAAAAGAAAAGGAAGTTCTGCTAAAATTAGCGTTTAAATGATTGATTTATGTGCAGAAAGCAATTTCTAGTAAATGATCATGTGAATGCGTTTCAAATTACTTAAAGGGCTATTCATATCCTAATGCTTGCGTCAGACTAATTTGGGAACATTCCTCTATTTTATCCTCTTTTGGTAATAATAAAAATCCCATTGTGATTTATATAAATTTCTCCTCATCATATTAAATTGTTGCAAAGTTTTAAATAAGCATATAGGTTGACAGGTTTTGTTAATTCCGATATGGTACCGTATAATGTACCCACTGATTACATTTATGTCTTCAGAGGATATACACTACGTAGGATTGACACGCCGTCAAGTCGACACTGTCAAGGATCGAAATTGCCATATGACAGACGTTAATTACCGACATACAATCGACATGTTGAAAAACGAGTTTTAATAATGACGCAATGATGAGTATGATTAATGCGCTTTTGCACCTTGCACGGAGGTGTCAGTAGCATATAATTGCCACAGCGTAGGATCTACATCTGCATATCATCAACTCACGTAGGATCAACATCGGCATATAGTCAATACTGGCATAGAGTGCACAAAGCTTATAATTAGCAACAGCGGGAACAAAAGGGACAGATTCTGAGCGAATTATTTTTAAGCTGCCTGCATAGGATCTGTATGGCGTAGAATCGACACTGGAGTATTGGAAACGGTTTTGAGTTGCTGGCTGTGTCAATCGTATGCCAGCAGACAGTTATGAATTTTATATCAAATTCTTAGTAGGTTAAAAATGTTCCTAAGAGTACATTTCTAACATTTTGCCAACTCAGCAATATACGCTAGCTTGAAAAATTAGAATTTCCAATTTATGTCTATTTTTGCAAAAACACTGAACCGAAGGTACTAATACGCTCCCAAATAATTATGCAAAGATTCAGAGTCGAATACTTATGTAGTGTACATATATAAATGGCGTACAAGTGCGTGTCTTCGGAGTTGTAATTATGAAGAGGACAAAAGCGCGATGGTTTTTGTTGATTAGTGTGCTTTCACTTCTTTACGACATTCGCAGTGTTTCTCGCAAGAGATATGTAAATTTATAAGATATCAGGTAAAATGAATTGACGCTATCGTATGGATTAGGAAATGAGGTGAATAACTGTCGGTAGACTACAGGCAGATTAATCATAAGCGCAAGTGGCTGCAGAGCTCAATATTGTCGTCTACAGTTTGTGGAAACAGGACTAAGCATGGGAAGCACCAACACATCGCCATTGGCAGAACTGGTGTCGCTTCTTCATACTAACCGTCTTGAGAAAAACACCACTGCCACGCGGCAGTGTTAATTGAGAAATTATCATCAGGGCAATCAGAACTTCTGGTACAGAGAATGGCCGGGAGATACAGATGCTGACGACACATGACAATGACATTACAATACAATATCATACATTGCAGTTGATGGTGAAATTATAAATATAAATATAAGTATAGGTAGACAAATAAACACAAATAAAGTTTGTGGAAACAGTCTCATGATTGAGAAGTCATGGCCAATGTTGACCAAGATCCACAACGAGAAGCGAGAAGTGAAGAACGCAATTTGGCAGTTTCAACGCGGCGGCTGCTTCACAGGACTGCTATAACTTCAGAGCTCTCACGAAAGCTGTATATGCTGCCACTGGAACCCAAGTTTCAAAGTCTACAATTGCTTGAAGGCTTCATGAGATAGGGTTATATGCCAGAAGACTCGCTGTTTGGGTCCCGTTCACTGCAGAACAAAAGAGAGCGCGTTTAGCATGGCGCAGACAACATGCGTCTTGGACCAGACGTCGGTGAAGCACCGTGCATTTTACAGATAAGTCGAGATTTAGTTCAAACACGGATTCTCCGCGTACCTGTCGCTGAACGAATGCGATGCCATCCTCCCTTATCATAAATAAGGATCATTACGGTGCATAATGTATGCTGGACGACCGCAAACCCCTGCATGTATCTTATAAAGACTCCTGACTGCTATGAGGTAATGAAGAGGAGGTCTGAAAGCCTTACGTTGGATTTTTCAGGGATCCATTGATCCTGAGTTCCGTTTATCTACATAGGGCTCAGCTAGTTGACGATTACCTGGAAAGTGAGGATATTCGCCGCATAAACTGACCATCCAGATCTTCTGCTCTTAATCCTATAGAGCACGACTAGGACCTCAATTTCATCTCACCATCTCCCTCCGAGAACCATACTGGAATTGAAAACCACCTTGCTGCAAGAGGGAGATCGACTGTCTCATGCACTCCTCAGCTGCCTCCTGTCCGGTATGCCGTTACGCTGCGCGGGCTGTCTGGCTGTGAGAGGGGACTGTACCCCATAATATTCTCCGTTTCAGTTCGATGTCACAACGTGAATTTTGAATATCCTCGTACTATGAGTACTCATAATCATGCGCATATAAAATGACTTTTGAACTGCACACTTCTTTCTCTGTTATAAATGTATATTCATACCAAATTTGATTAAAATATGTCTTAGTTTTTCAGAAATTCGACGCAATGTGCAAATTCTCTTAATTTTACATAGGAGTGTATTTGGAGTTACGACAACGTACCTTGAATTAAAACTCATAACCTGTACTTATAAGGTTACACATTTTTTACGTGTAAATTGGGTAATTTTATCTGTTATCAAAAAGCAAAAGGAGGGGAGGAAATAAAAAAGTCGATTTGTTTGGGAAAAATCATATATTTTCTTAATAAAATGTTTTCTTGGAAGTCTTAGATATTATTATAGTCTTCCAAAAAAAGTTAAAAAATAAATCTTTTCTGTAAATTTAAAGTATCAAACATAAAAGTAAACTTTATGATATAAAACCATGTCTTAAAATTTCAATGGTATTCTAAGAATTAACGGTACCCAAATTTTATGCCATTTAGCGCAAAGTAAAAAAAAAAAAAATAAATAAAAATAAGAAATACATTTGCATTTATCAAACAATTTATTCATTCATTCAAGATGCGATAGCAAAGTCTTGAAGAAGAAGAAATATCTTTTTTCTGTTTTCATTTGAAGGTTTTTCTAGCATTCGTAATTTATTATATTTTTTTATACATTAACAGGATACACGTGTTATATCCGTTAATCACAGCGTTTTACATTAACTATTGATCTAAATGAGAGTTCTGAAAGCAAAGGGGTTAAGCCCATAGGAAAGCAAATAGCTAATTCTCTGGATTTTACCCCTGAATTAAATGATGACTACAAATTGCTTTTATATAAGAGAATTATCAAAGAGATTTCTTGAAAAAGACTTGCGTGTAAGGCGCTTCCGTTTCCAACATTTATACCTTTATGTGTTTCGTTATAATTGGAATAACTGTTGAATTTTCGTTTACTTGTAATGCTATTTAATACAAAGTTAGTAATTTAAATATAGATAAACATAAGTAGAAATTACGCAACGCACTTGTCAACATACACAAAACCTGAGGAAAAACAAACATTAATCATCATTATCGTGATTATTCTTAATTTACTTTTTATAAAATCCAGAAGTGATCGAGGAGGTAGACGAATTATTAGAAATACTTACCTTGACTCAAATTTTTGGCAAAAAGAAGTGCCTTTGATCTAGTTTTTCCTGAAAAGCATTTTAAATATCGGAAATTCCCCTTTATAAAATTTTATTATAAATTTGCCTATTCTCCCATGAATGACTGACAAAAGAATTTAGCTGAAGCTAAACTCGTATCTTCTTATCACGGTGTTATTTGTCTTAGAAGTCTGTTTGCCATATTAAATATAATTATCAAAATATATTTTCAGCGGTAGATATTAGGAGCACAAAAAAAAAAAAAAAAAAAAAAAAAAAAAAAAAAAATAGCTGACGAAATATAATTAATACAATGTAACTATTATATTTTACTAGAAACAATTAAATGATGTGATATAGCTATTCAAGAGTTATACATTTAAACTGCGAATACATTTTTAAAAACAAACTGAAATAATGCGACAATCAAAAAAGGAGAAAACGTTGTCCAAACGGCATTAGAATCATATTTCTCTGCTAAATATTTTTATAACAATCATGTGATGGGAAATAAAAGCATCTTATTTTCCTCTGTACGCATATAATCTTAATAATTACAGATAATACTTATAATTACAGATAGTCCTAATTTTTATTTAGAAATATAGCTAAGTAACATCTGCAAAATAAAAACAACTATGTCATTTCGTTAAATATACTTGTAACGGAGAATTTAAGTTCTTTAAACATATTGGCTGGCTTTCGCGAAGCAGAAACAAAGTAAGAAAAAACAACGGTAAAATTCTTAAAAGCTTAAATTTGATAAAAAATACGTATTTATTTCTGCTGTAAAATTTTCCGCGTATTATGTGGGATATTATTTATTTTTTATTAATTTAGTTATCTAAAGCATTGTATATGATAACACACCGAGAACCACCTCAGAATTTATTAGATTATGATATTTATTTTCTTTTTAATTTATTTTATCTTAAAAAAATACATCTCTTAACAAACTGAAAAAATTTCTCAGATTTTATTAGTTTTCCTCTCGAATTTTTAATTTTCCACTGTTTATGATTCTAATGACTGTATTTTAAGAGTCTAATTAATTTACATAGCCAAAATTAATTTCATAAAACGATAAACAGTTGCACATTTTATAACAAGAAAAGCATTTTAGAAATTAAATTAATTTGGATTGATAAAAATATTTGCGAAAACAGCAAATATTTTCAAATGTATTAATAAGTTAAGGAAAACTTACCTTAGAATCATATAAAATCAGAAGTGGTAATAAAACCAAAGGAACTAAAATTGCAATCACTGGCCGCCACCATATACTAAATACAGTTTTTATATTCTTCGTCATGCTTTTTATTTAATAATGTTTACAGTTTGAAAACATACGTCAAACGAAAAACCAAAACATCACGGAGAATTTGCAGAATGTGGGAAAATTCGTCTACGCTTCCGCTGGAAACGATTCTTGGTCATGTTGGTAGCAGTCTAAATGCTGTACATAATCAGAAGAACAAAACTACCTGCTATTTTTTAAGTTTCTATTTCCCTTCGCGACAAATGTGACAGTTACAAAGTGTCGCGGAACCAGCAAGATTTAAAAAGCGGTGTAACGAAGCCGTTTTTTATTTATTTCTTTCGCTTTGTTTCGCTTCAGCTGCGATTCGAGTCGGTGATGCTCTCGATTGGTCGGAAGTTACCCGTGACGTCGCGCTAACACGTGTTTTCTCCGAACAGATCCCAGGAATCGGTTTGAGACTTTTCCCCCTCTTCGTTCTAAAGCCGCGATTGTTAATGAGAAAGCGGGGAAAAGATCATTACCAAATAAATGCTATCAAACACAATTTCCTATACTGGCGTTGTGAAGGTTTAATCTTGTTTTTTTATTTATTTATCTATTTTTCATTGCATTAAGAGAGATCGATTAAAACTTTCCAGCAATGCTTTCGAAGGACAGATCAAATCATTGACTCTTGCTTGGTTTTTCTTAGACAATATTCCAATATTTTGTTACTGTTAAACATTTGCTTTGCTTGACCGTTTTAAATGTGCCACTATTAACGCGCAGTGTGTTTGAATTAGGATTATTTCAAGAAATAAAACGCAGTATCTATAAATGATGATTACAGGTGATTCCTTCTGTATTAACTCGCATAATTGTTTTCCTCGCGTATTTTTCCTCTTAGCGTATGATTTAGAAATTTTTTATTTTTTATTTAGAAATTTAAAATTTTTATTTTTATTCACAGAGGAAAGTATATCCTCATATAAGAAAGTAAGAAGAATATATCGAAATTATTAACTTTAATTGAATTCTTAAAAATATATAACGGAATGGTATTAGTATGTTTATTCACATATCATTTTTTAATGTGCTATATCCTTCATCTTCGTCTTTGTTTCAAAATTGGTACATGCTGCGTATTTTTTTTTTTTTTTTTTTTGTGCATAATTTTTGGAAAGTAGAATCAGTGACTAAGAGATGGGATATATGAGTAAATGCGGTATTATGTTTTATGTTAGAACTCGATTTGATTGGAAAGATGCACAAATATAGTTGATGAACAGACTTCTCGTATATTATTCCCTAATAATGTTTTGCCTCAGATTGTCTGACATGTGTATTTTATAGAACAAATACCCATTCCCAGAAAATAAATTGACAACAAGTAATTTGCAATAATATGTATTACAAGGCGCCGAAAAACATATATATATATATATATAACAGGAAAAGAAAAACAGAAAAATCAACTGTTCAAGTGCTGGAATTCGAACTATAGATCTTGAAGCTGGCAGCTGGATAAGCAGTACACACGAAGTTCACGCAAGGAGGAATGCAAAAGCTCTTTCTATCTATCCTCCCACTCAAAAAGCGATTAGGGAAGGCACGAGATCTTGTGGACGAAATCAGGACGAATTATCACTATCACATTTTAGCTCGCCCCTTTGTAGAGATTTTTAGGTCTGGGAGCAGGAAATGGAATAACCCAACTGTTACCCTCCCTGGAACGCGATCCACGGACCCTCCGATACTAGCTAGATAAGACAACCACCCTGACTATAAGAGCACTCAAAAGAGAATGCGATTAATATTTACAATTTCTATCTTTAAAAAAGTAGTAAAAAATTAAAAATTTCTGCTTTAGTAGCTCAAATAGTACACTTCAACATGGTACCAAAATTTATCAGACTGGTTTTTACCCATTCCAAGAAACTCTTTAATATATGTATATATGATAGTTAATAGCACGGATTCCTTTAGTAGCGTTTTATTCTGAATAATCGCGTATTTTCAAATCCTTACGGAATTCGATACAAAAAAGAGAAATGCTATGCAGTATAAGAAACTTTATATTAAATATAGATCGTAGCCCTCAGTGAAAATATTGCAACTTTTCCGGAGATGCTTAAATTCATAGAAAGAAAACATTTCCCAAGTTTAAGTCTATAGCTGGGATGATTTTTAGTTACCGTTTATTTTTTATTTACTAGGGCAATATCAGAATCGACACCTACAGATAACTCAAAACTACGGTTAAAAACATAAAAAAGAAGAATAGAAGAAAAAAAAAAAAAGTCAATAATCTGCCTTCGTTCTCAACCAGTTTAATCTGCAAAATGAGTTCATTTGGTTATGCAAATTAATTCAATATTCAAAATGAAAAGAAAACACTCTAAATAATGGAAGAATAAACATAATTTCATATGAATGAAAAGTAAGTTGTACTCATTATGACATCATCTAATATCATTACTGTTTTCCTTAGTATTTTGACTTTTTCTGTTTTCCGTAGACCATTTTATATTACGTGACGTTTTGTGATAGTAATTTTCTATATTCTTCAATAACCAATGTTAACGTTTTTTAAAAGCAAAACTCGATTAATATACTACTACTTGGTTTATCTCCTACCATTTAGTTAATGAGGAAGTGACCGTCATTACTGAACGTCAATACGCTGAAGTAACAACTGAAACAACTAACAATGAAGCAATTAAGCAATAAAACTAATATTAAAGTTAATAAACACAGTAAAAGTTTACAGATTGTATAGAGGAGAAAAAATAGATCAATAAAATATAACTTATTATTACGTCAAATAAAAAACCTTTATGTGAGTTTAGCGTCATTAAAACCGACAAATCTTTTATGATGTTATTGTGTGTATTATTTAAGGTCTGCTTTATTTACGCAATGCTAACGTATAATATCTTAGATAATACAAAATCATTTTTCTTAGAACACCTATTTGCAGTGTTAACATATTAGGAGACGGTGGGAAGAAAAGTCTGTTTAAACATCTTTTCAATTTCCATAAACATCGGACAAAACCACAAACCGAATATTAGTTCTGGGGAAAGAATTCAAAAGTAAATTTAAAGAATTATTGGGAAAGGAGAAATTTAATGGATTACAGAATTGAAGCAAGATGTTATCAGACACTGAAACTAAAAGCGATTTGATCTGAAAGTCGAACATAACCGTATCTTGAATCTTTAATCACCTCTTAGGTTAACAAGAATTGCAATAAAATGTAAACTCTGCTCTTGGTTTAAGTCATAAATGGGTTAATTTTACCCCAACAATTACAATCATTTAAAAAACAAATACGGAATTAAAGTTTTCATATGGATTTTGGACGAAGAAAGCTCCACTGAATAATTTGTTTCTTATCTACTTTAATAGACATTCAGGTCTGTAATGCGTAAATCAGTGTTGTCTAAAATTCTCATATTTATCTGACTTAAACCACATATAGCAGAAGAAAAATGAGGTGATTTAGAATCTATATAAAATTTCAAATTTCATCAGAAAAACATTTTCAAATTTTATAGCATTCTTACAAATGGTAGTTTGAAATCAGGACTTGTAAATAATGTCGTCCTAACTTTTTTTTAGTCCAAAGGGGGCTTTGTCCCTGAAGGACTATTATTTTCGTTTTGCAATTTGCGTCGGAACCCTATAAACGGCTATTTTAACTGTATAAAGGTTCTTTCTCCCTTTCTTCCGATTGATTTAGTTAAACGAAATATTTTCCTAAGTGTAAATATTTTCTTAATTAGTTAAGCACTTCCCGGCATTCTTTTGCTGTGCAGCTTTTGAGAAAACTTCATACATTTACTATAAGGTATTTTCTCCCTCTTTTCCGCACGTCTTCGTGGTATAGCTAGAAGCATGCTCGACGCGTATTTGGGATGTCCTGAGCTCGAATCCCGTCTAAGACAATGAAAATTTCTTCAGTTTCCTAACTTCGAAAGAAATCTAAGTGGCTTTACATATGGCCTCCGAACTAAATGGTAGGGGGCCAATAATTCGTCACCACCAGGATTTGGCGGTTCGGTTCCCTAAGCCCTAGTCGCCCTTTAACAAGGAGAGTATATTATGTATTTCTTTCCTCCTTGCCGCACGCCTTCGTACTGTAACTGGAAGCACGCTCGATGCGTATTCAGAAGGTCTGGGGATCGAATCCGTGCGAAGACTGTGCACTTTTTTCACTTTCCTGCATTGATGTAACCTATGAGTCTACATATTTTTACTAAACGGTAGCCAAAGCCGTCGTAATGTGATGATAAACTATTAATGAATAATTTCTTATGCTGAAACTATGGATTTGCAATCAATCATTCAAGTGAAAATCGTGCAATATTTTTGCCTGCACATGATGGTAATTTTCCAGACCTCGTTTATAATCCCTTAATGAATTATCTGATAGTAACAAAATATTGACATGGAATGGAAATTTAAAAAGCTCGCATACTTTAAAAGGTGACGTGTTTAAGAGTATCCAAGAGGTACAGATGCTTCGTGGAGGACTTTTTAAGGAAATTTTATTCTTATTCGTGTTACACATGGGATAAAATATGCAAACTCTCAGATGGCCAACTCGTTCACTGGAACTTGAACTCAGGTCAAACAAACAATATTCAGCAATATTAACTCTCGTCCGCTCGTGAGCCGAAATGCTACATAAACAAATAACTTTGTAAGGAATCCTTACTTTTATCTATTAACTAAGTGTTGAAGAACCTAGTGAACTACTAAGCGCATATTCGCTTGAGTCCAAAAATAGAAACGTAAACTCAAGAAGGGTTAGTTGCCCTTTATTGTTGAAAATACTGTTTTACAAGAGGTTCCCTTTCTCAGGACGTACAACAAAGCCTCCACTTGGGCTTAAACTCAAAAGTGCAAGAAATAAAAACTTAACTAATGACTAACTAAAGAGATTTAGCCGAAGCTAACACAATTTGTAGACTAGTTGGCCCGCAATATTAAATTATCTAGCGAAGCTATCAAGGACACGCAATACGGCCGAGTGTAGTAACAGCTTAGAGAGACGTAGCCAAAAGGCAAACACACGTTAGTAAAGAATCCTAATTCTCTCTCTCGAAGTCAGTGGAACTTCTATACTATTCCTTCTCATTTTCATTTAACGCGATTCTAAAACCTCATTATGGTAAGGAAATGTAAGCTGAAACTAGAAGAGATAGGAAAGTCGTATAAACTTAAATAACTGTTTTAAAATTAGGATATACTTTACAACTTTACTATTCGTACTTCGAAAAACGGAAGCAAACTCCCTAGCTTAAATTAAGTACTTTAGTTCAGAAACGCAGCGACTAAATAGCTGCACTAGCGGCCTAGTGGCTAAGATCGCTGAATACTGGTAGTTTGAATTGGGGCAGGTGGTCTGACTATATAAATGGTTTTCTTGACTTTTCTTATGCGTGAAGTGAATACGGTGT